TTATTTGACTGATAACAGTTATCAAATTTACATTTGCTGGCACAGAAAACCACCTCAGATGTTTTCTAAAACGGCCTAGAAGTGCGCTTAGTTTTGTTTATTTTATAAAATGAAATGGGAAATGTATCTCCAACAAATCCTATTAATTTAGGAAGCCTAATGATTCCGTCAGTAGAGGTGTGCATGATCAAACTTAAAATCCTCAAGTGTCTCCACGACATTTGACTGTGCTTCCTTCCCTTTAAAGTCCTCATTTGTCAGGTGAGCACACCAGGCTGCCAAGGGGAGGCTCAGTGGTTTTGCTTTCCCAGGACCTGCATTCTGTTTCAGAAGATGACGGAAGGAAGAGGAGAGTGTATCTCTCTGGAAAAATTTTAACAGCAGTGTGATTTCCCTGGCTCATCCTTTCCCACAGAAGAATGCCTTTTTAGGATTATTTCAATATTAATTTTCTGGTGGCAGAACTGAAGATAGCAGTCTGATTCCATTAATTGGCCTCTATCTGAACTGTGTGAAATGGGTATTTTAGTAAAAACCCTTAGTATTTTCAGCCTATTTCTCAGAGTAAGTGGTTGCTTTTCTTGTCTCAGTATGTTCATTTACTGGTGGTCAGTTTGTAACAAACGTTTTTCAGAACGCTAAAGCAAAAGCAGGAATTTATGATGGTGAAGCTGGTGGTTTTTTTTTTTTTTTTTTGATACTACATTTTGTTCTTTCATTGCCTCCCCAAACATCAGCTTGTCAGGCTGGCTGAGCAAAATGAACATGTTTTCTGTAGCTGCCTCTTTGCCCCTGACTCTAGGTAGTGCCTAGAGTCCCAGCACTCTCTTCTTTATTTGTCTCACCGATGGTGGAAAATTTGGCAACTACCCCTGTTCAGCTTCTTGCTGTGATGTGCTACAGTCACATTGTGCTTCTTGACCTTCAGATGTTTGCAACTTAGCAAAGTTCATTCCTCAACAGAGAACACCTTTATAGTTTTCTCCCAATTACTGACTTTTAAAAATTATTATTAAAATTATCATGATATTTTATCTTGGTTTCTAATTATTATTTCAGTGACATCTGCTTGAGCCATGTAGCTTCAAATCTGGATTCATATTGTGTGCTGCTGGAATTATTTTCAGGAAGCATCAGTGGTGTTTTTAGACTTGAGACAAAGGGATGATGGATGATGGAGAGGACAGCAGGGCAGTGGAGTGAGATATGGGGAGAGACAGTGGTCATGAGAGTGAACCTAGAATAAAGCAAAATCTCTGAGTGGAGAAATGACATCAAAATAAAACATTGGCTTGAAATGAAAAAAAAAAGATAAATAGGATGTATAAAAAGGCTGGGAAGTTCATGTAGATGGGGAGATATTTATGCTGGTGAGATACAACACAAGAAATTTCAGGCTGAAAAAAAATCTTAATACAGAGATTTATTTGAGGACTTGATAAAGTACTTAAATATATCTGGGTATTCCTACCTGCTGGTCCAGTAATTCTTCAGGAGAGGTGTTTCAATCCTCACAGTGGCCTTCTGTGAAGCCTTCTGAAGGCTGGAGCAGTGTCCATTGCACACAGTGGACTTTGGGGCCATTTGAACACATGCTGGAGAAAACAGCAGGAAATTAATGTACAGAGAACATTCCTGCCTTCTGTAAGAAGATGGCTTAGCTGATTTAATAGCTTTTTCTCAGTCTGTGATTCCAGCAGCCAGGTTTGTGATATTTATTTTAGTATTCATGTTCTTGCAGTCCTTTTTACATTTCTCTGTTTTTCCCTGGCAGACATCCCGCAGCTCCATAAGTCTGGGGGAAGAGGATGGTTACCGTGTTGTTGCTGTGGGGATTTGAGTCTTAACTCTCTGTGTTGTTAATGCTGAGCATATAATTTTTAAGCTTGCATGCTGCAGAAGCAGATAATTATTTCCCCACTGCATTTTATCCTGTGGTTTCGGAAAGCAGTAAGTTTCAGAATATTAAAAGAAAAGAAAAGTTAGAATTTGGGGGACTATTGGAAATGGAAAGAGAAAGAGGGAAGTAATGGGTGTCAGTCTGGTTATCAGTCAAGCTGGAAGGAGATAGCTTGTTCTGTTGAACACCAAGAGTGTCAGTAGTCAGCCAGTCACTTATGCAGGAAGAAAGCAATAGACTGAAAGGTAAGGTTCAAAGACATCTGGGTATGTTCCTGAAATGAGCTTGAAATTATCTTGATATTAAATTATACTTACTGAACCTGTGCGTTACATAGATGATTTCTGTTTAGTGCAGGGCATTTCTATGACTGCTGTTGTTTTTTTTTTTTTTTTTTTTTTTTTTTTTTTTTTTTTTTTAGGATCTGCCTTCCTTTTCCTTCCCAGAACTTCCCGCAACTTCCCTTCCTGGAACTTCCCGGAACTTCCCTTCCCTTTCCATCTTGTTTTTATGGTTTTGATGTGTCTAGGGTTGGCACTGAGTGACTGTCACTGAGCAGAAGGCTCAGTATGCTGTTGCATTTTTTTTTCCCTTCCTTTTTTTTTCTTGCATCAAACAAAATAGGTTGTCTTCCCATTTTTCACCTGTATACAGAGTGAACTTTTTGCTGGGTGTTTGCTGCCATTCTCTCAGGCTGGTCAAATGGTGTGGTTCACTCACTTTCCCATGTGTAAGGGTGGATTCCCTGCTTAAAAGAGTTCTTCAGCACTGAAGGGTGTGTTGAGTGGTGTACTGGATGTGTTTCTGTTCCCAAACAAATTTGTCTTTTGAGTTAGATTGTGGTGGTAGGTGCTATTCCACTAACCCAGAAAGAGGAAGAGAGCCAGAGGGTGGATACTGGGGTACATGCACGTTTATCTGCTGTTTCTACAGCAGATTTGACATTTGACTTGTGACAAATGTAAAGTTGTAAAGGACAGAACCCAAAGAGGAGATTGACAGAAGCTGTTTCCTCAGCTTCTGTGAGCTCCTGAGAGCTTCGCAAGGCTAAAGGGAGATTCTAGGCCCCTAAGGCAGTGCCTTAACTCCTTTGAAACCCCGGTTCAGTTGTGTGTAAAGTTGGCACAATACCCAAATTGTAAAAAAAAGGCTGTGTTTTTCAGGTAGTTTGAAATCCTTATGTGGAGGTGTGGAATCATAAATTATTTATCTTACTGGAGAATATTTCTAGAGGTCACCAGTTCTAACAGTTTATCTCAAATAGAAGTAGGTTCACTTAGAACAGTTTGCCCCCTATAAAATCTCTGACCTTGACTATTCAGACTTCTTTACCAATGCATCATTTAATACAGGAAGCTCCTTAGGGAAGGTTCTTCACATCTGCTGTCATAATTCCTTGTTTCCTAAATGCAGCAATTTATACTTGATTATTCTTACCAGGATCGTGCCTCCCTTCCCTCCCCCTGCTCTGGCACAATCCTTTGTGTTGCTGCTTCTTCTGTAGCTGAAGGCGGCATCTAAGAGTGTTTGAAATCCCAAATTTTCTTTGTTGTTACTCTGGCATTTCCTTACCACTCTGTTCTAGGGGAGGGCATGTAGGAATCTGCTCCTTTATTCTGAGGCTGTTTTGCTGTGGCTTGTTAGTGACAGCAGGTTGTCATCATCTTACAGCCATTCAGCCAGTAACAAAAACCAAGCTGAATCTTTCATTTCAGCTTCCTGAGAACAAGATTTCCCCAAACAAAAATACTCTGCCGCTTCTTGGAGCAACTAACATCTGCGGCAGTTAAGCAGAGGGCTGCAGCCCAGATTTTTAAAGACGCTTAAGTGCTTTACTGCCACTAAACTGAATTGGACCTAAGTACTTGTAAATACCTTTAAAAATCTGAGTGACTGTGAAGACCTCCTTCATCCATCACTCTCAGCAGTGGTCCCTTCAGAATGGCAGAAAGGCACATCAGCATGGTCACAGAAAATACTTCTAGTCCTGCTCTCCAAAACTCTGCATATGAAGTTAATTGCTGCGTTCTAGCGTGGTTTTTCCTGAAATACGTCTTTGAATCAGATTTCTTGTATTCCCTAGAAGAAAAGAGCCCCTGCTTGCATGAAAGTCAATATTTAAGTCAGACAACTTTTAAAAAGGATGCAAAGTTATACTGTAAAAATACCCACCTTTATAGTTTATAATCCATTTTTTATTAAAACTGGGAAATAAGAGTAAAATTCACATTTAAATTACTTTCTGCTGTTTCTAGGGGATACTCTTTGCATTCCATTTCACGTTGTTCTTCCCCTACCCATTTTCGGTAGTGGTGTTCTAGACTTGCTTAACCTTTGGGGAAAAAATTATTCCCAAGTATAAAAACCTGTATGGATTTTGCATTTTTAAAATATTTAGTAACATTTAACTGTGTGCTAGCCTTGGAATCACTCCGTTTTCCTGTGAATCCAGAATGCTGGGCTAGTACTAAATGAAAATTGTTTGAAGAGGGGAGTCCTTCATATTTACGTCCTTCACTCAAGGAGTTGCGTGCTCCTCAAGAAGTTCCTTCAGTGACGCTGTAAAACCAGGATCAAGTGCACAGAAAGCCATTTGCTCTTCTGTTGATGTAAAGAACAGGCACTTGCAATGCTTCTCTGTAATGTCACAGAGTTTGGGAAAATTTAGTTAAACTAATTCTTGTTCAATTTACTTGCATTTGAGTTGTGCGTAGTCATGTATTCCATTTCAGGTTTGGTGGGGGCTTTCTGAGGGAGGATGGGGAATAAAACTTCATCAGTTCAATGAAAAAAAAAAGAAAGTAAACGATCGTGTTGGAAAAATATTGTGATTTGATGTGGCTTTCTGAATGATGGTCTTTTCTTTTGGATTTGGATTGAAAGTCTGAAATACTTGAGCTATGTTGTGTAGCAAGTTTACTTTCACTCCATCCTTCCCACCCCTAATTAAAACACGTTCAACAGGTCGCTGAGCTAGAAAAGTTTGCATACTTTGAGCAGTCTGTCTTCGTCCCTCCGCCTTCACCTCCCATGCCATAAAGCAAATTGTGAGCAGAGGAAGTGTCCGACAGTTACGCTGCGTGTCTCCCCTGTGCCGCAGGTGTTTGGAAGGGGAGTGTGCTGGCCGGGCCGGGTGCTGTCTTGGTGCTGGCCCTCGCAGCAGGGAGGTGGCAGAGATGGTGGCCTGAGGGCACCAGCCCCACGCGCAGACATGGCCTTCGCCCAGTCCCACATCATGGCAGCCAGGAGGCACCAGCACAGCCGGCTCATCATCGAGGTGGATGAGTACAGCTCCAACCCCACACAGGCTTTCACGTTCTACAACATTAACCAGGGACGATTCCAGCCCCCACATGTGCAAATGTAAGTATTATAGTGTTGTTATTGCTCCGGCACAGCCTTCAGAATGGTTATTGCCTTGTCGATGTGATATTCGATGGACCAGTCACAAAGAATTCAAGGAATGCTGTTTTGCTGCCTTTCTAATAATATTTACTATAATGACAAGAAGTCAGTCCGTTTGAAAAGTACTTTGTTAAAAGATCACAGAAAGATTCCCTCACTGGTGTAAGTGTAATACATAGTACTTAGGTATTGAAAAGAGAAATAAAAAACAAGTGGTGGCAATAAAACACAAGACACTACTACAAGGATGATACTTTCTGCAATCTTAATAACTAAGGTTTGTTTGCTTTGTGCACTTGCATATTGGTGTACATGGCTGCTGAAAATACCAAACCTGGATCTGTATAGCACACATTCTGTTTGGTTAGTTATATTACAGCTGCATACAAGGGAAAAATCATATAAATACATAAAGTACTGTGAGCACCCATCCGAAAACTTACTTTCCAAAAGTGCCAAGTGCTTAAAGAGTAATTAAAATAATGTGTTTGTTTCTGACTTCTTATATAATGCCAACATCAGTAAAATTAACTGCTCTGGATGATTTACTTGTAACATAAAGTGGAGAATTATAATTACAAAATGAAACCTGCCATAAAGTTTAAAGCCAGAAGGAAGAGCAAAACAGTAGAGCTATTACAAATAAATTAAGTATAAAATTCTACTGTAAAATATTTTTATAGGGAATGAAAATGTCTGCACCATTTTATTGTGTATCTTAAAGAGAGAAGCAGCCTTATCTTTAGATCAGATGGCTGGTTTTCATTTTTTAAAGAGAACCCTTTTCCTTTAGGAAGAGTGAACAAATAGTCACCTAATTTACATTTTTGGTATTTAATATGAATTTAATATGATTTGATAACTTAAAAACGTAGGTCATGATTTCTGTGGTTAAAAAACAGCACTTGTGACTGGTTGCTGTGTGTCTATTTAGCAAATGCTTCTTTGGCATAAATTAGATTATATAAAAAAAATCTGATGACTAACATGTATGTCAAGATGGTGAGCAAACAGTCGGTTTTTGGGGGCAGTATATTATGGTCTGTGTTGGGGTTTTTTAGATCCTACTGAAATGCAAACAGTAAAATGAGTTGAGTGTTAGCATTGGGAAACATCTTTTGTTTATAGAGCTGGCAAATGGTAGAAAAAGTACAAACAAACAAATGTGGGTTCTGAAATACTTTTACAAATGAAAATGCCAAATGCAGGTTGCCTGATTTGTTGAGGCTTAGTTATTCTTTGTGGGTATTCAGACAGCTCCTGGGCACTCAGAAATTTGTTTCCTGATCTTAAAAGCTAAATGTTTTTTACTGGGCTGAAAATGAGGTGTTTATTAGTATTCACTTGGTTCTCAACCATATGCTGCTTAAACTTCTAACCAGTAAGAAATTGTGGTACTGGAGGCTTAGGCAGTCAACTACAAGATCAAAACTCAGCACTCAAGCAAGGAGTTGAAAATAAGATATCATTAGAAAATAGTTCCTCAGAAGAGTTTAGCAATCCCTCATGAATGATTAATACTATTGAAGAAGCTTGTGCAAATAGAAAAACAGGCCAAATCAATTGAAACATGTACCACAATCTGACCTACTCTTTCTCTTTGTACAGAAATAGTAAATAATGTTTCTGAATACCAGCAGGATTGCTTTTTCTTCCTACCAGTGAACAGAATAGTAACAAAGAAGGGAAAAGTAGACATAAAAAGGGTGACAAAAGCACCTTTTATTCGCATGATTGTTGTGGGTGAAATCCTAGCCCTGCTTCCGTGCATGCAAGTTTTGTCCTTCAGGGAGGTGAAGGCTTTGTGCATGGTTCAAAATAACCTCCATTAGTGATGTTGCAGGCAATCATCAACATTTCACACAGACCTGTTAACATCTGAACTCCCAGTAAACTACTTTAACCGTGGGAAGGGGGGTGGGGGCGGGAGGATTGTATGCTCCTTTTTTCTGGATTCAGTTTTGCAGCTCTTCCTTGCTCCTCTGTGCAGGTTTGGATTTCTTATTTGATGTTTTAGCTCCCAGAACATGCTGACAGCCCTTTCTAGACCTGTCATAGTCTGGCATCCCTGTGCTTGTAAGATGACTGGGTTGCCTCTGACAAGGAGGATGGTAAATTCTGCCAGTGTTTTCAAGTCCATCAGTCATTTCTGGAAAGTACCTGTCTCACTCCTTCCTGAAGTGCTGAAATCTAGTGTATAAACTAACCTCTAGAAGTGTTTTTGCTCTGAGATGTTCCAACTTCTCTTTTTAGTTTCTCTGCAAGTTTTCTTACTGATCTAAAGAAAAACAAAAGCATTTGCACAAAAATAATCAGCAGATCTGTATTCCTCTGCTCACACTGCAAGCTGTGCATTGGGTGTTGGTGTGACAGCTGCTGTGGGAAGGCGTTACACAAGAATATGGGGATTGAGCCTTCAGAAATTATTTCCAGTAATACAACTTAGATGAGTTTGTGAAACTTGACATATGCTTTTACCTATATATGGTCTCAGTGCGTGCATATCACTTCAACATGAGAAATCTGCATCTCATTTATTTTGGTGGTTTTTTTTTGTATTGATGCCTTTTTCCCAAGAAAATTATCTGGCCTATTGCAGAGAATTTAAAAGTTGCACATACCTCAGCAACCAGGAAAATGCTGTCCACCCCTTCCCCATCCCAGTCCAAAGCGTGTGCATTATGTACTACATGGGGTTGCCATGGTAAGTCTGCTGTTCTTTCCACACAGCTTCCTATGTGAAACATATATTGCTCCCTAACATCCAGCTCACTGCTGTGCTGAGCTTTAAAAGATTTCTGAAGGAGAAGCTGTACCTGCTTTAAAGGCTACCCTACCATGAAAAGTCAAAGAGTGGTGTTTTAGACAGTCCATATCCTTACGTTTGCCAAGGCAGTATTTGTGATTTAAAGCTGTCTCAGTAATATCATCTGTAACTCGCTTTGGGAAGTGTTGGGCAGGGAGAGCAGTAATTCAGTTTACTGGACTGATGTTTAATCCTTTTAGCTTGAACAGCTACAGTGATAGTCAAGATCAGTTCCTCATCATTTTTGTCCAACCATCCTGGTTCCTTTTGTGAACTGACTGCATCATCCTTCACACAGCTCCTGTCTGAGGGCAAATCCTCACCTCCCAGTCTGAGCCCCACCATTCACCACCCACATTCCTCTGCTCTCCTGCTGCCTCCCCTGGAGCTTGCCCTGTGCAGCTTTCTCCTCCTCTAAAAATGGAGGCATTTTTAACATCTCAGCTCTTTTCCTTCATCTGCCCTTCCCCTTGTGCCCTGCACAGGGTGTTTCCAGCTGCTTGGAGTCCAAGCACTGCACTTTTTGCCACCCAGATTTTGGAGTTCCTACTACGTGCCCTGCACAGGGTGTTTCCAGCTGCTTGGAGTCCAAGCACTGCATTCATGCACCCAGATTTTGGAGTTCCTACTAAATCCCTGCTTACATATGCCCCTGGCATATGTAGTTCATCCGGTAGGATTTGATCACAGCTGGGTTTACCCCTCAGCTCATATTTAGGTACTTTCTCCTCAAAACCTGGAACTTCAGAAAGACAACCCTAAGGTGTTTGTATGAAAAGGCTGCTCCTCCAGTTTTGCTGCAAAAACCCCAATATTTCTTCTTCCTGTGTGGCAAAGATGGGTACAAAATAATTGTTCATACTCTGGTTTTGTAGTTACATTGTAGAAAATGCTAAGACCTTTTTCTGTATTTAGCAAGATTTCAATGTTTTAGATTTGTTCCTCACCCTCTCACGAATCCTCTGAAGTTGTCAAAACCACCTCAGTTCATCTGCCTATAAATTTCATAGAATTTTTTGACACAGAGAAAAGGTTCAGTGATTAAATACTATTATCTTACACCTTTTAAGCAATAAAATGCTTTTGAAAATTTATCTAGTAAACAGAAGTAGTGTTATTAAATGCAAAGATCTCTATTATTTTCCCCCCTTTGTTTATGTAAAAGTAAGCTCCTGAATCGAGGCACAACCAGCAAGGGATAGAAATATGTACTGTATACTGCAACAATGAGCAAAACTAATTTTATTTGCCCTTTCAAAAGAAATGTTGTAAAGGTAAAATAGTTCATAACAATTCTGTATATCTCTCCGGTTTCTAGTGACATTAATATAACTCTTGCATCTCTTGCTTTTTGATTTTTTTCCACCAGAATTCCCTAACTGGAGTAGCAGATACAGTGTAGCTGCATATGGATAGATTTACTTCTATGTATTCGAACAAAATATGGATTGAGGTTAAAAAGATTGATTTGAAAACAAGTATTCCTTCTATGGCAGAGGGGTACTCTCTGATTTCCTCTTGTAAAATATAAGTGAGTCTCATCAAACTGGGTCAGATCTTTCCTTTTCTTCAGTTTTGAATGTAGAGATTGGGTTCTGAACAATGCAGCCTCACCCCTCACAGCATCTGATTTCATTTAGTGTAATTAAGCCCAGAAAGTCGTCACTTTGTCCTGACAATAGTCAGGTTTTAATGTACATTTACAGCTGTTAGGAGAGTTTTTATGTTGCTCTGCATTAACATAGTGAAACATATCTCCAAAATGTGTTAATTAAATTTGCTCAAATTGAGTAACTTGCAGAAAAGAAGTTATAATTAGGGAAAAAAAAGGGCATCTAAATGTATTTATGTATCTAAAATATTTTCCTTGTGTACAGTGTAATCATATTTAAACAATGAAATGGGATAGTATTTTTCCTTTGAAAATAACAATACCTTTGATTTATTTGTAAGTATTTGTGTCAGAGTTACTGCCATAGTCCAGTCTCTTTTCCTTAATCTCTTTAAATTAATCTATCTACCCAACAAATACTGCAAATGTTGTGATGTGAACATCAAGAATTTTTACACCTCCCGTTAGTGTTAGGTTTGTTTTAATAAATCCTTCCATCAGGCAGATTCAGAAGTCTGTGTACTCTTTTGTAAAGGTAAAAAAGTAGTGTCAGAATTGCAAAGCAGACATTAAGGAGTATGTAAATACTTTATAACCTTGTTATGATGCATTTCCTACAGGGTTGATCCGGTGCCCCATGATGCTCCGAAGCCTCCAGGATATACACGATTTGTCTGTATTTCTGATACTCACTCAAGAACTGATCCCATCCAAATGCCATATGGAGATGTGTTAATACATGCTGGTGATTTTACTGAGCTGGGACTTCCTAGTGAAGTAAAAAAATTCAACGAGTGGCTAGGTAGGTACTGAATTCTGTGTGGATTCGACAGTAAATTTGTTTACTGATTGTATCTGCCCCTTCTGCCTCCCAGTTAAAAACCATCATGCACTCAGAAGTTATGAATATTAATTTGACTTTTAAATTTGAATGGCAGTGAGCAGGAATCAGATTTTTTTTTTTCTTAGATTCGACAAATATTTTTGCATTTTTCCAACCGAGCAAATAGGATTTGTGAGACTATTCATCTGTTCTGCCTTCACACTCTCAAGTGTACATTAAGCACTTCTTGGTGTTAGCAACAATTGAAGTCAGGAGTCCTTTAATGATTTACATAAAACCTCTTGCATGCATTGTTACAGCTTTGCTGCCTCCCCTAAAAAGTTGTTGTGACTGAAAACATTTTTCTGTTTAACCCCAGAGGGCTCATAGGTTTGGAATTTTTTTTATATCTGAAGCTCAGCTGCGCCACAGAGATGAATTCTGAACAAAGCAAACCCTGTGTGCCTGTGGTTGCTGCCTTGGATGTAGCAGACCAGATGTAGATGCCTTCTGTAGGCAACTTTTGGCATTGCTAACTGAAATTCTGTTCCACTGGGCAAGAGAGTGATGATTTACATGTGCTTCTGCAATACTTTGTATATGCTAAAAAAAAAAAATTAAAATTGGAAAGCATGTACTGTATCCAGACAAAAACTGTCATCAGTGCTGTTCCTGTAGCATTGCAGATACCTTAATTTAGAATAAGAGTGGCTTCTGGATTTTGAGACTTCATTAATTAAAAAAGGTGAGAGGGAATGAAGGAGTTGGAGGGAGAAAGCACCCAGTCTAAGGGTAACGGATTTCAAGTTTTTGTGTTGATTTTGTTTCTTGTAGTTGATATTTTTGCTTTTTTTTTCCTGTCTTTTTTTTTTTTTTTTTTTGCTACATATTGAAGCAATCCACACTAGGAGGGCACAAAGCAGACAGATGCATGTAGGCTGAAATGGAATTTAAAAAGGAAAGTCAGGACTTCACAATTTAAACAAATATTTACTAGCAAGTAATTATCAGCAAGGCTGATAAATATTTATTTGAGCTCAGGAACTCAATAATATGCCACACATGGAACAATGTTTTTTTTCTGTGACTATGAAGGTAGGAACAGCATGTGGAATAATTGATACAGAGCCATCAACTCTGTCTCTGCACCCAAATGGAACGGGTTGGTTATAAAACAGCAATTTTTGACCCTATTTTGTAGGTCTCTACCATGTATTATAGTAATGTACTGAAAATAGCATTTACAAATTATTCAAACCATGTGGTTACCCCTTCTAAATAATCCTGATTTTATTTATCTGCTGGTGTGGGAAGAAGCTTTGGGATATTGCTGGTGAGCAAGGATGGGGCTGTGCTCATTGCTTGCTGCACAGTTTTTGTCTCCAGTTCTCCATCTGCCTCCCAGCTGGTCACATCTGTATGGTGTTCTGAAGATGTCTGTAAGCTGAAATCCTCTCAGAACGGTAGGGAGATTTCCCAAGGCATTTCTGCGATGTTCTCTTCATCATTTTTATTCAGAAAAAAAAAAAAAAAGCCTAATTTTCTGACTTTTCAGGCATTCTTCCAATTTCATGGTAGTGTGCACTTGGGAAAAGGTGATCTTGGTGGTTGGAGTTATATTTTCGCAAGAGCAAAAGATTTGAGATACAGGAAGTTAGCAAGTTAAAAGGTTTTTGTTTATTTTCTTGGCAATTTAAAATTTAAAAGATTTAACTTAAATTTTTAATGAAGTTTTTGTTTGGTTGTTTTAAACAACCAGTTTATCAGCTCTTGAATATATTGAGTGTTCACAAAATTTGCAGCAAATGGCAGAATGGTTAAAAGCATCTTCTCCCCATTGAGAAGGAATTTCAGAAGGTTTTGCTGGTTGTCGATTTTTTTGTGAAGGTGTTAGTCTCCAACAGCTTCGATTTTTCTAGATAGCTACCTTCCATAATTTTGCAGCTCCACAGCCAATCCAACCATCTCCTTCCTTAATATTTTACTGGTTTCTTGAGAAAGTAACTGACAGACTCTGGCACTAACTTTTCCTCCACTGACATTCTTCCTTGCTGCTGCCAGATTTCCCTGTTTATTCCTTCATGTACAGGGCTCACTTTCCCACTTTTTTGTCTAATCCATGTCTCCTGCTGTCCTCAGATTATGACTGTTTTTGCCTTGCAATAAACACTAGGTTTGGTACACCTTCCCTTGATCTCGGCTTCCCCTCAAGCATGAGATAAAACCTTCTTCCTGCTTTTGCTCCAAGTCTTTATGTGCAGCATTGATTCCCACCTTGCAGTTTTCAGTTCTGCCATACCCTCTTGGGTCTGTGCCACTCTGGTCTCTCTGTTTCATCTTTCCAGATGAACTCGCCCTTCGGCAAGTTCAGATTTTATCTTTTCACTTTACACAAAACTCCTGTGCCTGTCTGATGGAAAATTTATTTTACATTACCATCATTAACTTCCATGGGCCTTATGGTTCTATCAAGCACATGCTCAAGTGTTGTGCTAATAGAGGCACACTGGCTGGATGAGTCATCCCCTAAAATCTGTTCTCTTTTTCTGATTGTCCCTGGTTCCCAGGAAGGCCGCTACCAGCTGGGGCTGGTACCCAGGTGCTCTGTTTTGGCAGCCCTTTTGTCACCAAGCGTTATACTTTGACCCCTTAAGCCCTCTAGTTCATTTCAGTTTGTTCTTTTTGGTGATTAATTGCTTTCTGTCATGTGTCTTTTTCTCTAAGCCCTTTCTCAGGGTGAGAGTTGAGGTTTCTCTTAGTGTCTAAGTCTGTGGAAGAGATAAAATGTTGGTGATCACTGGATGTGCCTATTTTCTCAGCCTTCTCTGGTAGGCAGTCCAGCATTACTTTTAATTTAATATATAGATTTTTCTTCTCTGAGTTTTTTAATTGCCTTTTGGGTCTGTGCAAAGTTTGAGCACAGACACAGTTTTGCAGCAGAGTTCCAGAATATGACAGGGATGGTGAGATGAACTGTGCTTATTCTTGTTATTAGTTTCACTTGGTCCTTCCTAATACTGGAAGAGGCAAGTGAAAAATGTATCATTCTTTATTCTGCTTAAGAATTTTTAGGCTCTTTCCATATCTACCCTTAAGGTATTTTTCAGGCTGAAGATTGTTCAGAAATCCTTAAATGCCTTTGTTCATCTGTGTCACTCTTTGTACCTCTTTGTCCACATCCTTTTAAAATTTAAGAGTGAGACCAGAACTGTACATGTTCTGAGAACACTACAGGTTTATTCCCTTGCACAGTGAAATTTCTTAGTTCTCTTTTCCTTTCTGGTCTTGTGGATTATTCTGTTTTTAACAGAACAATGAGATGGCATTGTCATAAAATTCCATGAAGTCTCCTGAATGGTAATACCTAGCTCAGAACCCATCACTGCATCTATAGTTTGTGTATTTTTCCAAATTTTTTAAATTATTCTGCATAAATTTATGCTTGGTTTCATCTGTCCAGTCATGAAAAATCATGATGTACTTTTGCAAGTGAGATTTCTATTTTTCTGATGTTTTTCAGGGTAACTTAGAAAATTAAGGGAATAGGGGGTGAATAGTCAGTTTACAAAGCATACAAACAGTGCCAACCTGCTCTTTGCCCTCCCTTCTTTTTTTTCTGAAACGACCCTTCTCCTGTTATCATATCTCAACTTTTTCCTTTTTTTTTTTCTAGTTTGTTCTCTTACTGTATTTTTACTCCAAATTTAAAAATTCAGTTTTAGAGAACCAGAAGAAGATGAAGTACGAGGTATGTTTTATGGTAGGAATTAACAGAAGGCCAAGAATCCAGGGAAACTTTCTGATGATTTATAAGAATGCATGGTATGACTTCAAATGTGTGCTAATTTTCCAGCATTTTCAGGAGATTTTAATGATAACACTTCAAACAGACAAAAATAATCTGCAGCTTTTTCATTATTTTGGTTTTTTTTTTATTTATTCCCTTCTTCCCCACTTGCATATCAATCAAATGTGTTATATGACAAAGATGTATGTCCTGCCTTAGTACACTCATCAAATACTGACTCCAAAACCATCTCTTTTTTTTATCTCCCATATTGTTGGCACTGGAAATTGCCTGCTTGGCTCAGTTGCTCATGTAATTCCCTTTGCTCAATCCTGTAATATCATTTCCAAATTGTGTATGCTCCAGAACCCACTGTCACTTTGAGCTTGTGGGTTACTTTCCTGGAAGTCTAACTAAATAGCTGATCTGAGGTATAAGCTGCAACAAATACTTCCATCTTTTTTCTGAGAATTCTCTTCTGTGCATGGATTGGGAAGGTTACTTAAACTAACACATTGTGTAATATATATTGTTTCAGTGTGTTTGCTTGAGATTTTCCAATTTCTAAGACAGACTTTCAATTTGAGATTCAAGTTGAAGGTAATTTGGAAATAAAAAATAGAAAGTGGCTTGGAGTTGTAATGGAAAACAATAATTAGCTCTTCGGAATATTTTCCTGAAAATATTTTTACATGCATGTTGTACACATACAAACACAGACCAGAAAAAGGAATACATTATTTAACATGCACTTCAGAAGTTGACCAAGGCAAATTCATCAAAAAGGATAAGATTTTTGTTTCAAACTAAAAAATATTTTAGAGTGAAGATGTCTACCAACTGTAGTAACTAGCATTACTAGAACATTACTTGTTTCTAGACTTAGATTGTATTTGATCTAAACTTGTAGTATTAGATTCTGTAGACAGAATCAGAGATTTGTTAATAAATATCATCTCTACTTTTTAAAGTTCTTGAAAAAAGATTTTCAGAAAAATTTGTGGTCACTAGGCTTAGCTTTACTTTTGCTTTACTGCTCAGCTTTGCAAAATGATAGTAATTATTTTTCTTCCTCTCTTAAGAGGTATATTTTTAAGTTCAGTAATACTCACATTTAAATCAGATTAAAATCATGTTGAAGATGAAAAAAATCAGCTTCAGAGCAGCAAAAGGAATTAGAATTTATATATTG